GGTTTTCAATGAATTTGCATTTCGACCAAAAAAAACGTCCTAAAATTGATCTATTCCCAATCTCAAGAACTTCCTATATATGCTTTAGATTTAGAAGTTCCATAACTTTTTCTTTTGTAGAAAACTGCTCTAAAGGCACGGACTTATACCCACTGTGAATGGAGGCACTAATCTCTTTTGTCAGTTGAAATTCAAAATCTGGGTAAAAATAGGCACTGATGCCTGTGCCCACTACTCCACCCTACTCCACAGGGCCACACCCACCTCTCTCTCTCTCTCTCTCTCTCTCGTCAGAGTAGAGCTGGCATTCGTGTCGTTTTTTCAATGTTAGTGTCGTTTTCGTGTCAACCTGCTTTTCTTAACGGATTAACACGACACGATAAGAAAATAGGTTGAAAATGTCAAACACAAACACGACCACGACTCATTACAATTCGCGAATCAAATGACACGACACGATAATCTGTTAAGAAATAAATAAATAAATAAAAACAGAAATTTTAAACAATTAAAAAATCAACCACAGTGCCAAAAAAAAAGTAAACACAATCTATAGACGAGCTCGAAGGTGAGATTGGAAATGCCCTGCGAGTGGCCCTCAAAGGTTTGGGCAGTGGAGATGGTGGGAGTGGAGGAGGAAGAGTCATCGGAGAAGGTGAGGGAATAGGTGGGATCAATTGGTGAGGGAGGGAGACAGACGGGGGAGGTGGCTGGGATGGCTCATGGTGGTTGGGTGGTGTGATGGCTGCTTAAGACTCTCAAGTTGAGAGAAGAAGAAAGCTAAAAGGTTGCTGGGTTTTGAAGAGAGAGAGAGAGAGTGAGAGAGAGATGGAGTAGTGAGAGAATCGGGGGAATGGGGGAGGAAGAGAAGAGACAAAAGAGAAGAAAGAGAAGAAGGAAAAAAAGAAAAGAAAAAAAAAGAAAGAGATAAATTTACAAAAATGCCCCTGAGTTTAACGAGTTAGCGTGTATTCGCGAATTGACACGACACGATAGCTTAACGGGTTAATATGATATCAACACAACACGATAACTCAAACCCGAATACTAAATTTTTTGTGCGAATTCGTGTCGTGTTAATGGATCGTGTACAATATTGCCACGTCTACGTTAGAGGCAAAAAAGAGAGAAAAAGTCCAACTTAAGCTTCTCTCTCTTATATAATATATTAAAATTAAAAACTTTCTTATAAAAAAACAAAAGTAAAGAGCTAAATCCTGAGAAAAAAACAAAAACTAGCGTGTGATGATGATCAGTTTTTTAGATAACTGATGACAAGGAAATAGTGGCCGTATGATGATCAGTTTGACTATAGACACCATAATAAGTGTCCTTTACTCCTAAACGCCATCACTAAAAGTCGTGTGTCCTCAACAACTCCTTTCAATCAATGGTTTAATATTCAATCAATCCTCAAAAATCAAAATCAGTACCAATCCAGTCTCCATCTACATTTTAATTAAAACAGTGTCAAATGGTCAAAAGAAGTATTTTGATGAATTGGAATTGGCAGGATTTGGTCTGAGTCTTATTATATCACATATATCATTTGAGAAATAAATTACATTTTCTTTTTTATGTATTATGCTCTTTTTTTTTCTTTTTTTTTAATCAACATGACAAGAGAATTTAAATTTTAAACTTCTTCTAATATTGCGTGTAATGATCAGACAGACAATTATTCTAGCACTTTTCACTAATTGTTGTAGATTAAGAGTTTTCATTAGAGATATATTAGTGTTAACACTTGAAATGTAGTGACACTTTGCCAGTGTCCGGTGTTTTTGCAGGTTGCACAACAAATGTTCCGGGTACCCTATTTCTTAGAGAAAAAGTATGTCAAGCATTTTTCAATGAAAAACAAAATCTCATGCTCAATTTCTCAAATATTAGAAAACCCGCATTAAACGCATCTTGGAAAAATTTCACACACGACAAATCTTTTCTTGACCGTTGCAATAAAAAGTATATAAACACAGTTTTGATCTTAACCAACAATAATATACAAGACAGAATGGAGCCATTAATGGCCTCTTCAAGATTTGTTTTCTTCCTCTCTCCCATTCTGTTACTAATAAGTTCTCAATCCCTTTCTCAGCCTGAGTTTCCAAGCCATAGCTGTTTCTACGAGAAAGGCAACTATACCACAGGCAGCACCTACCAAACAAACCTTAACACCCTTCTCTCTTCTCTTTCTTCCCCCTCCAACTGTGGTGCCGTTGCCGTCATCCCCGCAGCCACTGTCTAGTCCTCTTCCACCATCGACCAGTACAGGAGGTACATATGCTTTGAAGAAATAAAGTTGGCTTAATTACGGCAATGGTCCATGAATTAGTACACGAGTTACATTTGATTCTCTCAATTCAAGTTTTTGTTGATGTAGTCGTCTCGTATACAAGTTCAGGCATATTTTGTTAGGTTCATATACAGATGTATGTATGTATTCAAATTAATGCAAATGAGATTTCTGACTTTTGCAGGATCGAAGAGTAATAGATCTCGGACTGTCATCATTATTGTTGTGCCAATTGTTGTTTTTGTGGTAGTTATATTCTTCTGCATTTGTTTAAGAGTAAGGAGGACAAAGACAAAATCTGAAACTAGGAAGTTACTTCCAGGTAAGCAGGCAACTCTAGTGAACATTAATCATATTATTCTTCTGCATTTGTTTAACAGATGAAATTGTTCTTATTTAGTTACTTAATTTAGTTTTTGTTAAATTGTTCCTCAGGCGGCAATGATACAGATGAAATTGGATCTGCAGAACCCTTGCAATTTGACTTGGCCACAATTAGAGTTTCCACAGATGACTTTTCTGAAGCAAATAAACTTGGACAATGTGGATTTGGATCTGTTTACAGGGTATGCAATTCCCATCCCCATCCCCGTTAGCTTTTTCCCCCATCCCCACCTTCGTTGGGGAATGGGTTCCCCGACCCGCTCCAAAGGAATAACCAATATATAACTACTTTGTTGAAAGAAAAAAAGTACTAAGGCAAGATAATAAATATATATAATATATACTTATAAAACAATATAAGAATTTTCATATATGTACTGAAAATTAACTAAATAAATAAGTAGTGTGGCTTAAGATTTGTATAAATTATATAAGTATATAATATAATAATGAAAAATATAAAACTTAGTCGGTACAATCATTTTAATAACATATTTATATATACTATAATACATATATATATATATATATATATATATATATATATACCTCATCAAAAAAATTATATAAATATATATTCGGAGGATTCGGGTTGGGGATTAAAATAGATTCAAACAAGGACGGAACTGTGTATAGGCTGGGGGGGGGTCTAGCCCAGTGCAAAAATTGTAAA